GGGGAGGGGAGGTGGGGTTAGCATTGGCTAGGCATATTTCTTTCTCCGCAGGGCTGATGAACACCTTGTGCAGCAGCCTGGAGCTGACTGCAGCACCCCTGCTCGGGACAGGGTGGGCAAGATCCCCCCTTTTTAAGCAGTTCTCCAGGGAGAAGTCAGAGAGAGGAGTATCTCAGCGGGACAGATCTAGGCAGAGCCACCATCTGCCCGCAGCATCTGCAGGGACTGAGCAGGGACCTGCCACCCCGCAGGCAAAGACACGCGGACATGACCAGCTGCGGAGGAGTCCCGGTTTCGCTGTGGCCAGACCCACTCCCCCCCTCCCCGTGCACGCTTCTTACTGCAGTTCGCAGGTTCATCTGAGCCATCCACACAGTCGTTGTCCCGGTCGCACACCCAGACGCGGGGGATGCAGCGCTTGGTGATCGCGCACTGGAACTGGTTGGGGGCACAAGTCACCTCCGCTGCAGGAGGGAGAAGCAGATTCAGGAGGGGCAGCGGGGCAGGCAGGGATCTGCCAGCCGCCACCCCACAAAAACTGCCCCACAGAGCAGAGAGGCATGCAGATGCTCTGGGCATCACAAGAAGTGTCTGGCCATGCTTGGTGACCACGTGCACGAGAGGGGAGGGGAGCGGAGCCCTGTGGTGGCCCCAGAAGTCTCGCCCAGCTGCAGGGAGACAGGGCAGAAACCACAAGATCCCTCAGCTCTGCAATAGGCTCAGTGCAAATCCACGGCAAATATTGAACTTGCCACTCGGAGGGATTTAAGGATTTAATTTCCACTAGGAAACAGAAGTGTCTGTAGGGGCAGCAGGGTGATGGTGGACAGAGGCTCTACGCAGAGCAGAGGTAAGGAGAAAGCCCCATGCCCAAGGGCAAGACCACCGAGAAGCCAGCCTGCAGAGAAGCCAATACCCAAAGACATGGATCTGATGCAGCACTGAACTCCTCACCCCTAACTGTGCACGCTCCCCATCCCTAACACGCTTAACAGCTCCCCACTTACGGCAGTCCTTCTCATCCTCGCCATCACCGCAGTTGTCCTGACCGTTGCAGCGGAAAATGCCAGGGATGCAGCGGTTGGTGTTGGTGCATTTGAACTGGCTGGGCAGACAGACGTGGATATCTGGGAAGGGAGGCAGCACAGTCAAAAGCTGACACGCTGCGTCTCTGCTCTACTGGGATGCTGCAGCCCAGCTGGTGTTTGAGGGTCACAAGGGGAGGTGGAGAACCTACCACAGTTGGCTTCATCGGAGTTGTCCTGGCAGTCGTTGTCTCCATCACAGATGAAGGCTGGGTTGGTGCAGATCCCAGTGGAGCACTGGAACTGCCCTGGCCTGCATTTGAATTCAGCTGTGGGACGAGTAAGACAGGGTGAAACGTTTGCTCTGGAGAACATTTTTAGGGCAAACCTTAACCTCCCGCTTTCCCCTCTGGGGTCCTCAGCAGGGACTGAGCAACCAGCACCCAACCCTGGGCTCTGGCGCAGTGAGGGGGCAGCTCTGCTCCGAGAGCAGCAGTTGGCTGTTGTCCTCCACGAGGCAATACCCCACGCAGGGACAGTGTGTTATCCCACTGCTCTCTAAGCTCCATTAATGGGGGAACCCTCCTCTCCCTGGAGCCGAGCAGGGAGCAGCAGTGCTGTTCCGAAGCCAGAGCAGCAGCAGGGCTTTGGGGGACCAGCTGCACAAGCAGCGCCAGGCGGCTCCGGACAGCATGCAGATGCTGTAGGGCTGGCAAGAGCCGGGCAGCGTCGCTGGGGTGCTGGGACTCCATGGGCTATCGTCAGCTCCGCTCGGCACTCACGGCAGTCCTCCGGCTCATCCGAACGGTCCCCGCAGTCGTCCTCGGTGTCGCATTTCCACCAGAAAGGGATGCACTTGTCATTCTTGCAGACAAACTAGGACAGAGAGACGAGCTTGTGAGGGTGGCTTGGAATGGGGAGGGAGGACCCCAGAAGGCTTTGTCCCCAGGGAACTCTGCCAAGGGCACTGATCTCCATGCTGTCCCTTCCTGGGCACCCCCGGGACATTCTGTGGCCTGACCTAGAGCAAAGCCTGAACCCTGAGCACACGCCACACAGCTCTGGGGTTTGAGGGAGGGAGGGAGGGGGGCAGGCAGAAGGTCATTCCAGAGCCGGAGGGTCTCTGGCTCCCCTGGGCACCCCCAAAACGACTGCAGTCTGTATGTGCTGGGAAGTGCCACAGGAGGGAGGTGTTGCCCGTGCCTGGAGAAGGCGTGCGCACACCAGCACCCAGAGGCACAGCACGGGCTGCACAAGCAGAGGAGCTGGGACCTGGTGACACCACGGCAGGAGGGACACACACGCGAGCACAGGCACACACTTGCCGCAGGGAGGATGTCCACACAGGCAGATGCAGGCAGGGGCAGGCAGGCTGTTACCTGGCTGGCCGTGCAGTTGGAGACGCAGGTTTTGCCATCGCTGCCCAAGTAGAAGTTGGTGGGACAAGCACACTTGTGCCCCCCGCCCGGCGAGAGGAGGCAGAGGGTGCTGCAC